GTAGGGAAAATTTTACCTTTGACTTTTATGTAAATAGGATTAAGCCCTAAGAATGCAAAGATCTCTTTCTACTTCAAATTCTCACAAGTTAGGAAGAAAGTGACAACTTTCTTCCATCATTCCAAAATCTCTCAGAATTGCTCTTGGAAACCCCTGACCTTTTAAGCTTCCAGTCTTCTTTGTCCTGCAAAGGATATTGTGCTAGTCAAAACAGTGTATCTTTGTTTCCTCCCCTTTCCATTTTTGGTTAAGAAAGACAGACTGAATAAATCTAATTGCTATATCTATGCTCTTTTGATGAAATTTCAACTTCCGATCAGAATAAACACTGACTTTTGAAGAGGGCTATTGAACTCAGCAGTGCCTTTGAAAATGGTTTTGATTTCAGAGGGGTATAGAGCTTTAGCAGCTTTGGTTTTGAGGATTTGTCAGGCTAAAAAAAAAAAACCACTAAAAACAGAATCCATCATCCCTTTTTTTAATCAAAATTCCCAGAGAAGTTGAGTTTCTCACAGGGAGTGAGAAATTGGGCTTCTTGATTAATTTACAGGACATCTAGGGCACTTGGTCCACCCATTGCTTTACTACCCTGCTTGGCTTGTTCTTATTCCTTCATATGTCACTTGCATAAGCACATAGGACCTGAGTTGTTTCCCATGTCCCTGTCTTCATCAATGTTACTCCAGTTATGAAGTTAGTCCTTAGTCTAGTGTTATGATTTACATTCACAGCATTTTTCGTGTTTCTAAATTGGATTATAGCATTGCCACAAAATCTGCTAGAGTAAAAACAAACAAAAATACCTGACTCTGCAAGAGTAAAAGCAGTAAAAAACATATCTTCAAATGATTATTTCATTCTGTGATGACTGAATATAAGTGTAATAAGGTGCGTTGATACTTTCAGTTTTTACAGCTCTGAATATGCAGGTTGTGTTAACTGTATGCATGCTATCTGTAAGATGTATTAAATCCTACTTGGAACCTAATTCCATGTAAATTATAGCCACCCTTTCTCACACAGACAAAATTAAGTCTGCAATGTGTTTTTTGTGTTGTTATCAGGGTCAGATCCGCAGATGGTGTAAATCAGTTCAGCTTTTCTAGCTTTAATGCAGCTGCAGCCACTTACATCCATTGTCTTTGAGTTTCTAGATTTGCAAGCATAGCAAAATTACACATGACCCTTTTTGTTCTTTCCTCAGAGTTTATAAATATTGGTTATTAGAATTATCTTCTTAGAATATATCAATTCTAATGTAAGATGTGAAAATAGGATACATGAGAAACAAGATGGATAGCTTGGCCTAGGAGTTCAGTTCTGGGGCAAGCCCTCTTCATTGTTGGATCAGTGGTTCAAAGGTCATTAGAGATAGTTAACAGTTATTGTTTAGTGAGGGCTGGTGAAATAAGTCATAGTCCATTTCCTCTTGGAGAGGAATTGCCATTGACCTGACAGTTATAGACTTGCTGATATTTCAGCAGAGATTTCTGAGACTGCTATTATCATTCAAACAAAGGGTAGCTTTACAGTAATATTATGTGAGTTGTATCTTAAGTAAAATAATTGCATTTCAAAGGAAGCGAAAGTAAGGAGGGGGAAACTTAAACTGAAAACAGCTAAAACAAAATATGCCAAATGTATTTCCCACCATAAAATCTCTAGGTACTTTTTATTTGGACAGGGCTAGTTTTATTCACTGTACTTCATGCCTGAGAGATGGAGTGAAACAAAACCTATTAGAAATGGCAATTAATCTGATTGTTAGGTGTATCTATGTGGGGTGGTGCAATAGTAGTAGAACTATAAAAAGAAAAAGCTGGGGGTGCGGGGTCAGTGTCCACATTCCACATGTTTCAGACAAGCTCTAGTCTGATTGAGTGGAGAGGAATCAGTCTGTGCACTCTGATACCACTTGACAGTATGGACCAAAGCCTGGTAAGTGAAGATAAGCAGAAGAGCAGGTCAAAAATACACTCCTTATCTAAATGAAAATGCTGATGTAGATGCAGCATATGTTAATATTTCTATATAACTTGGGCTTGGTACTTGGCCAGGAAAATGAGTGTACTTCCACTGACCTATTCACATCTGTTGTTTCATAAGCTGATTATTTTCTTCTCTTATATGTTTTCATGGGTTCTTTCACTGATATATTTTTAGAAAGAAAATTGCATTTTTAAAAATTTTTTCCTTTTTACTTTAAGGTGTTTGGACTTCACCCTAACGCAGATATAACTTACCAGACTAACTTGGCTAACAAGACATTAAGTACAATAATGAGCATCCAGCCCAAAGACAGCAGCAGTGGAGGAGGGGAAACCCGAGAAGCGGTGATACAGCGTCTTGCTGATGAGATGCTGGAGAAGTTACCTCCAGATTACATCCCACATGAGGTATATGCTGCTGTAGAGATATAGATGTTTTGTATAGGTATGCAGGAGTGTTTTATTGTGCTTTATTTAATCTCACTGGTGTCTATTTTAAAAAGTTCTTAAAATAATGCATAGTGCTTTAGAAGTCTGTTTTGGTTTGTCATCTAAAATATCCTACATCAGAAGTGTATATTGCAAAAGCAATAGTCTGCTTAATGAGTCACCTTACCTCAGGAAGACATCAATGCTTATTTTGAAGGATCAGGGATCTTATAATAGGTACAGATTTTTTGGAGTTTGAGCTTTAACAGATATATATGCCAGTTTTTTCTTGCATTTTCAATTAACAGTCTCGTTAAATAGAAAAGTCCAGAATAAAGGACTCCTGCATCTTCTTGTAAGTATGGATCTGGTGTCTTACCATGTGTTTCATGAACAGTAAGTGTTGAAAACCTCTCATAGTATTTCCATGCTTTTATTATTTACAACTTTGTTGTGCTGATAATGCTTTTTTCCGGCTTGCAAGTACATGCTTCTTGTAGAGTGTCCATTATGCAGTATTGCAGCTTGTCATGCTGTACTTCCTTTTCTTTTCTAGTTAACTTAGAATGTCCAGTTAGGATATGACCAATAATCTTGGGGCCTTGGCAAGATTTCATGAATTCTGTTATATTATTCATCTTAGTTTTAATATATCTTGTATAAATATAGCCTCTTCTGTACAGTCATAATTTATCACTAAACAACTATTTTCAAGCTACTTTTTTTTTGCAACTTTTATTTTATGAGATTTCCTAAAGAGCATCTATCTCTTTTAGCCATCCACCTATTGACTTGCTCCCAGCAGGAGTGTATTACTCATTTATTTGTAGAACTTGGTTTGGGATGCAGTCAGTTTTCTACTTCACAGGATCACAGAATCACAGAATGGTCAATGTTGGAAGGGACCTCTGGAGGTCATCTAGTCCAACCCCCCTGCTCAAGCAGGGTCCTCTAGAGCACGTTGCCCAGGATCGCGTCCAGACGGCTTTTGAATCTCCAGGGAAGGAGACCCCACAACCTCTCTGGGAAACCTCTTCCAGGGCTCCCGTCACCCTCTCAGGAAAGAAATTTTTCCTCATGTTCGGACAGAACTGCCTGTCTTTCACTTTGTGCCCGTTGCCTCTCATCCTATTGCTGGGCACCAGAGAGAGGAGTCTGGCCCCATCCTCTCGACACCCTCCCTTCAGATACTTGTACACGTTGATGAGATCTCCTCTCAGTTTTCTCTTCTCCAGGCTAAACAGGCCCAGCTCTCTCTCAGCCTTTCCTCAGATGCGGCATGCTACAGTCTCCTCATCATCTTCAGAGCCCACTGCTGGACTCTCTCCAGTAGGAGCTCCATGTCACTGTTGTACTGGGGAGCCCAGAACTGAACACACCACTCCAGATGTGGCCCCCCCAGGGCTGAGGAGAGGGGCAGGATCACCTCCCTCCACCTGCTGGCAACACTCTGCCTAATGCACCCCAGGATACTATTGGCCTTCTTGGCCACAAGGGCACAGTGCTGCCTCACAGTGCTTAACTTGTTGTCCACCAGCACTCCCAGGACCTTCTCTGCAGAGCTGCTTTCCAGCACGTCAACCCCCAACCTGTACTGCTGCATGAGGTTCTTCCTCCCGAGGTGCAGGACCTTGCACTTGCCTTTGTTGAACTTCAGGAGGTTCCTCTCCGCCCAGCTCTCCGGCCTATCTAGGTCCCTCTGAATGGCAGCACAGCCTTGTGGTGTGTCGGCCACTCCCCCCAGTTTTGGATCATCAGCACACTTGCTGAGGGTGCACTCTGAGCCTTCCTCCAGATCATTGATGAATACATTGAACAAGACTGGACCCAGGACTGACCCCTGGGGCACAGGGCCTCCAGCTACAGGCCTCCAGCTAGACTCTGTGCCACTGACCACAACCCTCTGAGCTCAGCCATCCAGCCAGTTCTCAATCCACCTCACCGTCCACTCGTCTAGCCCACACTTCCTGAGCTTACCTAGGAGGAAGTGATGGGAGACAGTGTCCAAAGCCTTGCGTTTATTCCCCCATTGGTGTACAGGCACTTCAGACAGGTATTTGAGCATGCAGGTTTCACAGGGGAGGTGCAAGAGGATACCCCATAGTCATATCTTGTAGGCATTCCTTGGCTGCATGCACCTGCTGGAGGTATCCCCACTTGAGCCCTGTTTTCTGGGTGGTCTCTATAACTCTCCCCTTCCCCCATATTTCCTTGTTTAAAGCCCTCCTGGCCAACCTGTAGGCGAGTGCCTCATTTAGTGAGGTGCATCCCATCTCTCCCCATCAGTTATCTATCTTCAAACAGGGTCCCATGGTCATAGAAACCAAAACCCTGTTGCCAACACCAGCAGCGCAGCCAGTTGTTTACTTGGAGAATCCATCAACTTGCCCTCTCGTCCTTCACCCTAACTGGTGTTTAAAGCCCTCCTGGCCAACCTGTAGGCGAGTGCCTCATTTAGTGAGGTGCATCCCATCTCTCCCCATCAGTTATCTATCTTCAAACAGGGTCCCATGGTCATAGAAACCAAAACCCTGTTGCCAACACCAGCAGCGCAGCCAGTTGTTTACTTGGAGAATCCATCAACTTGCCCTCTCGTCCTTCACCCTAACTGGTAGGATTGAGGAGAAATTGACCTGGGCTCCCAGACCCTTGACCACCATCCTCTGAGTTCTGAAATCTTGTTTGATGGTTTCCAATTTGCCCTTGGTATTACTGGCGGCCACATGGAAGAGGAGCAGGGGGTAATAGTCGGATGTGTGGACAAGCCTTGGCAGTCTTTCCATGACAGCTCTGATTTGAGCCCCTGGCAGGCAACAAACCTCTCTAGACAAGAGATCAGGTCCACAGGGGCCTTTGTCCCCTGCAGCAAGGAGTAACCCACTAGAATCACTTCTTCTGGGTTTTCCTGTATGGCAGGTCTATTGGGCTTTACTTTTTCATTTTTAATACTTTTCATATTATTATTAAATAATAATAATAGTAATATTTATTGCAAAAAATAAAACCATATTGATGCACCCGTCTTCAGCCTGGAGGAAGTCGTGCTTGAATATTAGCTGGCTGTTCGGGACCCCCCCTTCCTTCAAGGGCCCTACCGCATGGGGTTCCTCCAAGTAGGTCCCTCAACAGGCCAAGGTAGCTCTCCTGAAGTCCA